AAAACGTCTTGATAATGTAGTTGTATATCCAACATATATATTTGTTTTTTTTCTGTCGGAGATTCATTCCCCCAAGGGTCATTGGAATTTATATATAATGTTGGTTTTACGTAATATACCAGTTGGTGGGGAGGAGTTAGTGCGGATAATAATTAAATTGGTTGTATTGTATTTTGTATAATATATGATTAACTTTATTTTTAGAATTTTGTATAATATATGATTAACTTTATTTTTAGAATTTTGTATAATATATTAACTTTATTTTTAGAATTTTGTATATATGATTAACTTTATTTTTAGAATTTTGTATAATATATGATTAACTTTATTTTTAGAATTTTGTATAATATATTATTAACTTTATTTTTAGAATTTTGTATATATGATTAACTTTATTTTTAGAATTTTGTATAAGATTAACTTTATTTTTAGAATTTTGTATAATATATGATTAACTTTTATTTTAGAATTTTGTATAATATATGATTAACTTTTATTTTAGAATTTTGTATAATATATGATTAACTTTATTTTTAGAATTATATATTATATAAAAGCAAAGTGACAACAAAAGGGAAAACAGGAGAAGAAGTTTTAGATCGGAACAGCTGGGACAGAGTTTAAGGAAAGATATGCAATTCATTTGCTCTGATACAAATACGAAAGAACAACACCATGTTTTCCAAATGTATATGGAAACTAAAAATGAAACCAAAAACGCCGTTAGTAGAAAGGAATATAATTAAAAATATAATGAGAAACAAAAGAAAAAAAATTGCAATTTATGCATGGAGGAGATACTAAAAATTGTAGAATTTATGAACGTGAATAATCTAATAAATAAAATGAATTATTCCGGACTGTCGACACGCTGACGGATTCTTGTTAAAAAAAAAAAGAAAACGTTAAAAGGACAATAAATCTTAGGAACACAGTTAAAACACAGCCACCCAATTTGGAAAATCGCTAAGTGTGAAACAGCGCTGAAAATGGATAAATAAATCAAAATAAATCTACACACACACACACACATACATACATACATATATATATATATATATATATATATATATATATATATATATATATATATATATAGAGAGTAAAAAAGTAGCACCCAGATTCTGGACCATATTGTTAACATTTGTTTTGCAAATGATTAATTTTCTTAATTGTTTTCGTTTTTACTTTTTTTCAGTGGCGCGATGAAACCATTCTCGAAAAGTAGATCAAACGCCGCGGTTCGATTGCGTTAGCCGGCACGATCACCAAATATCATACCTACGTATCTCTTTTATTGGGTGTATTATAAAAGGCCTATTTTATCGTGAAAAAGCCTCATACCATTCACGAGTTAAATGCACAAATCACTGCAAATTTTAAGAAAATTGATATCGAATTCGACATGTATGTGGGCCAGTCTGCACCTGCTCGATTGCAATTGTGCATTGATCTTTGAACGTCGCACGTAAAACAGTGAAATCATTGGCCGGTAATCTAGTATTATGTATGCACAAATCGAATTTTGATGCATAAAAATTTTAGTGCGCTAATCGAAAACGCATTAATCGAGAGATACCTGTATTATCAACCTTAATATATTCATGCACAGACACAGACACACACACACACACATATATATATATATATATATATATATATATATATATATATATGTATGTATGTATGTATGTATGTATATAACGTATATTTACGCAGCAAATATTCACCCAAACAACTTTAATTGCAAAAGAATGAAGATGATCTGCCTTTTTAATTCTTTATAATGTTTTTCCAATTTTCGAATAAGGTGTTGCGTATTGTGTCAGAAGTTGTGGCTAAACTGTCCGAAGTTCATATTTTGTTATTTTTCGTCACGCACATTTGGATCATCGCAGTCATTTTCAAGAAACGCTGTGGTGTCCGTGTGGTGGCTAGAATTCCTTTGTCTACATCTTGTTATTGTAGATTACTATGTATACCCGCGTGCGCGTGGAAGTAGTAATGGTACAGAGTTAATATTTGAAGAAAGGAATAAGTATTAGACCTTTTTTCTCAAATAATTATATTCACTATTTTTCTTCAAATATTGAACTTCAGTTATGCGAAGACGGTACCCATTGATACATTTTAGATTTCAATACAAAAGGAATATTCCACATTAGCTAAAAAGGCTTTATCAGTTTTATTGCAATTTTCCACTTCTTATTTATGTGAATTAGGTTCCTCAACCCTAAATAACATCAAATATAAGAAGCGAGAAAGACTACGCTCAACTAAAGATAAAAATGAGAGTCTGTTTATCGCATATTCGACCAAACATTGAAGAAATCGCGAAAAAACATCAGTCCATGTTCCACACTAAATAAGCTGCACAAATAGTTGACTAGAAACACTGAAATAAAGTAAGTTCATATTTGTGTATGTATTTCTTTTTAAATGTATGGTTTCATTTCATAAAATTTATTTTAAACGAGCGTTGCCCGTGCTTGATTCAAAAATCGTACGACTCATACAGCAATCGCTATCACTTGACTTAAAATATTTTTGCCCTTCCTTGCCTTTAAAGGAGTGCCCTTTGCCGTGCTGATGTTGCTACATGCCTTACTTCTTGCCTATATCACACTGCGAATTTTTTCTAAGCTCTATACTAAACATTAAATCTGTTAGAAAAAAGAACTAAACAAAATCAACACAAAACGATCAGCTTTAAAAAACGACTCGTAACTGGAAAAATCGAATGAAAAATGAATGTTAACAACAAATACAATTTCACACTCAACCCAGTTCTGCGGAATCAGAATCTACGTTGAGTTTAAGCAAGCGAATGAGCCAATTGGAGTAAAGTGCCATGCAGATTTAAATTTTTCCCACTTGTGACGAATGCAGCTATCGATTTTTTTGCATGTTAGCATGCTAGTTAACATTCGTGTCAGTCAGCTGTTGGCTCTCACGCTGGCCAATAGAATCTTCCTGCCTATTCGTGGCAGCCAGCTATAGGCTCTCACTCTGGCCAGTAGAAAATGGCCGCAAACTACATGAAAACTGCCGTAGAAGCATGAAAAAATTGATTATTTCCACTATCGATGGGAGTTGGGAAATGCAATGTCGGTCTTGGCGTTCCCGCTAACTTGGAGCATGTGCATGTAAATTTTGGTGCAAATCCGTCGAAAATTGCGACCGTGCATTCGTTACACACACACACACACACACACACACACACACACACACACACACACACACACATCCTGCCTTTTATAGATAGAGAGATATGTATACATTTTAACAACTTCGCTAAGTGTGCCGTGATATTTTCATATGCTCCTAGGTGTGCCTTGGGTTTAAAAATACTGAGAACATTGGTTTAACCTCTATCCACATCAGTAATGGCAGCGCTAATGCACTTTCTAAACCATTATCTTAACTTGGATGTCAATGTGAATATAATCAACCAACCAACAAATGCAAGCGATAAGTGAATACAAAAAAATAGGAAGAGGAATACGACAAGGAGATGTTTTCTCACTGAGTTTATTTAAGCTGATCAACGAGACAGATTCGAGAAGACAAGACCTACCATGATCTCTTATCAGTAGACATAACCTCAGCAACATACGCTACGCAGATGACACGACGCTGATGGCAGATTGGACTGTAAAACAATTGTATTTTTGTCAAATATACGCTCATTCCAATAATAAAAATAATAACCCTCTATATGAAACGCTATGTGTTTCCCCCACCTACACCCATTCACACACCCATCCACACACGTACACATATATATATATATATATATATATATATATATATATATATATATATATATATTTTGTGTGTAGTACTTTGTATGCTGCTCTTATACAAATGTTATTTTAAACGTGGGAAATAAAACAATATCATTTACTTTTGTTTTATTTACTTTCGCTAGTAGATTATTTTTAGTTCGTAGTTAAAGCGATAGTAATTTCGCAATTGTATTCCACATATAAAATACGAAAAATTTAATATGCAGTCATTTTTACGGCCCGTGGAAACTTGTAAAATGGATCGTTTCAAGCTGCTTTTGTTATAAGAAAACTGCCTAACCCATTAGATAGTAAAGGTTTTTTCCAATAACTTGGACAGATTTTAAATGTGAATTAAGTTTAAGCGTCTAATGATTTTTTTTCTTTTTCTTTCAGATTTGGTAGATATTTGAGTGATATTATTTTTCACGCATAATTGCCATGACTTAAATAATATGATCCAATAGAGAAGTAAATAAATTTTCACCAATAACACTGATTTATTTACTGCTGACTTTGATTCGTCTTAATGAAACACCCTTATATATAATCCGTCTTAATGAAACACCATTTATTATTATTATTATTATTATTATTATTATTATTATTATGTCGCAATTATCATGAAAGTATCTATCAATCTGTCAATATGTCGAATATTTCTCTATAATTTACTTTGCGTTTCGGATACGAAAATAAAGTCAGCGCCTATGGACTTTCGAGCAGACATGGGCTCTCGAGAAGATCTAGCCGAGATGGGCATCCCATAAAAGAGTAGTTGAACCTTGCTAGCCTGTGAAGCTTTCTGTGGCCGACAGATCCGACGGTGGTCTTCTCTGCAAAAGGCCAGTCAGGTTCGAAGATTGTAGGGTAGAATATATTTTCTTTATTCAGTTTGTCGAATACACAGGCCGAGTTTGAAAAAACAGGGTGTCTACTCAAACACGTGTATCCACTCAAATATAAAACTTAAGAAATGATATCGGATTAAAAATAAAGCTCCGTATCTATCTATCTATCTATCTATCTATCTATCTATCTATCTATCTATCTATCTATCTATCTATCTCTGTCTGTTCATATCTATCTATCTATCTATCTATCTCAGTTTCTTCATATCTATCTATCTATCTATCTATCTATCTATCTATCTATCTATCTATCTCGGTTTCTTCATGTCTATCTATCTATCTATCTATTTATCTATAATGGAAGCAATAATAATAAAAATAAAAGCCAACTATGCACACGGTTACAGCGTGTTGACTGTATTTGAAGGAATAAAAAATATAAACATATTTCCATCGCTATTAATATCATATATAAAAATCTATATTCAGTTAAAAAAAAATTAATATTGTTTATATATTTTTCACGTATATGAACAAGTGTCCTTTTTTTGAAAACTTAATGAGTGAAAAAATTTAAGAAAAGTGCTGTTGCTTTCGGTCAAAATATTTGCCACTTTCGAAGATTTTTGTTATGCTATTATAATTAGACATTTTAATAGCACTCGGTGTAGAAACTTACGCTCCTGATTTACAATTTACAACTGCGTCTCCAAACTTGCTCCAATTCTAACCCCCAACTATTAAAACTAATATTCACAAAAGAAAGTTACTACATGAAGGGACAACCAGAATTCACTTTTATGCTCGCACATATATTAAAACAACGAGATTTATTATGGGATCAACTATTTATATCTCATGTTGAAAAGAAAATTTGAAAAATTCCACGAAAAACTGAAAAATTATGTCAGACATTTAGATAGGACCGGTGTGTACTACTCACGAAGACCTCCACCCCACCTCGAACGTTGGACATGGGCAAAGCTGATTGGGGTCACCTAGGAGTGCTTTGTTACCCACGCTATCTTATCAAGATTGTTTTTTTATACATAGATTTATATAAGTCAAAAATCAAACTAAGCACAACTATCAGCGAATAGAAATTTTCGAGAATTTTGACGTCATTCTGGGATTTTTTTTTCTTTTCGTCCAAAATCTGTGATTTTTTTCTTTTTTTTTTTTGGCTCATGCAAATTTTCGAAAAAAAACACTACATAAAACTCACTATTTTTTATCGATATGTTGATTGTTTTAATATTATTCAACTCTTTAACACAAAAATTCCAAATTGATGTTAAGTCTTACAATTGAAACATTGTTTATTCATTTAAGATGGAATGATCTATTATGACATGTCACTAATTTGAATTTAGATATATTGTATTTATTTTCAATTTTTCTAGTTGAATTGTTCACCTGTATTGCATATGATCCATTATTTGTCCAGAATTAGACTGCAATAATATTTGTATTTTATATAAATACTACCTTATGAACCGACCCTGCATATCGATATTTTCATTTCAGCGAACAACGAAAATTGTACTTAAGAGTACATTTAAAAAAAGAAACTCTGTTTTAAACTTTACTTAGGAATTTAGCAAGAACAAAAAAATTCTATCCCTAAACGTTCTTGTAGAACCCGATAACAATACATTCACCACTTCACTACACAAAAAAATAACACTCGTAAAAACTCCTGTTTTCTCAATTATACACGTGAATGTCCACTTAGATATAAATTAGCGGTAATAAAAAAGCAAACTTTCCAACGAGAGTGCACGCAATCTCTTCGCTTTGCAAGCTATTCTTTAAAGATCTTAGTAACATAAAACAAACAGAAGTTTTCTAAACTATTTTTATTTATTTTTCCAAATAAGATTTCTTCTTTCAAAACTAAGTAGTAATAACATAGTTCAACTAGAAAAGACAAACATTTATAGATTTTTTTCATAACACAAAAATTACAAACAGGATGAATTCGCTTTAAGGAACATTGTAAGACTACCGTTGAAAAATCTAAAAATATCAAATTAATTATCGATTATAAAAAATTGAAAACATTTAACTTCAGAAACATCTCGCTGGTGAAATCAAAACTATATCAGACTAAAACCATTTATGAATTTAGATACCCCACTGCGTTCCTGATGAAAAAAAAAACATAAATAATTATGTTGGACACATGACAATCCGCCTGCCAAGATGGGCTGAATCTACATCTCTCTGATTAGGGCTCTATACGAACACATTTAAACCAGCATGGAATTGTATTACGGTCGATAAGCAACATACTCGTCAAAAACACGAACCATAGAAATGATGAAAGCTCTTATTATATTTAAAAAAAACAAAAACAAAAACAAACCATTAATAACATCAGCTATGATCACGGCCACAATGTACTGGCCGTTTTCGGAAATTAAGAATGTATCTACTTTCAGCAGCTTTTATACTATCTACAATAGACGCCATTCGTTATAGTAGGAGATCAAAAATAATTATTGAAAATTTGTAATTGGTTAACTGAAAGCGCTCAAAATAACTTTTGTACAATTTTTACATTCATTAAGTCCAGTAAATAAATTACTTTACGCAGACAAGAAAAGTATAATAATAAAAAACTAAACAAAATTACGTTGTCAGTCTTGTTTAACAAAACATGTATTAAAGAGGTGTTAATGACGAAATACAAAACTACATGCATGCGTGTGTATGTATGTATTGCTTCTCGCTGCATATGTTTATATACATGTATATGCGCATTTCAATATATATATATATACTTAATTATTCTAATTTATTTATTATATATACATTGTATATATATATGTGTGTGAGTGTGTGTGTTTGACAGCAATCCCTCTCTTATACAAGTTTCATAAAAGACGACTAACAAGGTACAGCGATTAATCTTTTTAGTCAATTGTTCTTGCATTTGTATAAGTGTTTTCTTTTCTGAAAATAGAGTGTGCAAAAAGTGTCCAAATGTTCTATGCGTTTGAACGCTTTCGGCTATTCTGTTAGCCATCATCAAGGATGTGTTTGTTTTGTTTTGGTTTTGTTTTTTTTTTTTGTTTTTTTACTGAATATGTCTATGATATATATATATGATATCTATAGTGATGTAAATGTTATTTATTTTTTCTCCAAATACTGTCAGTACATTCCAGCCGTGTTCATAATTGATATTCCTGAGTGTTGGCTTCTTTCTTTTTTATTATTAATGCTTCCATTATAGATAGATAGATAGATAGATAGATAGATAGATAGATAGATAGATAGATACTGTGTCGGAATAAAAGGTTCGTAAAGTTTTTAGTGAATTTCAAACACGGTATCTAGATGTTTGTACATGAATTCATTCAACTACATGTGCCATTCTATTCCATAACACTTCGCCATCTTTGAGCCATCTTCATGATTCCCTCCTTCCAGAACTTGGCTTCTTTCAGGGGGAATCTAATTTTTTTTTATAGGATTCCAGAGAACTGATTTTTTTTTCCAATTAAAAGAATTTTGTAGGGATCGATATAAGGGAGGGTCTTGTGTAAAAAGATATCCCAGCTAAGCTGAACCAATTTTTACCAGGTCCGCAAAGAGACGTGAGGTCTGGCAGCATCATGTTGGAAGACGTCATTCCGGAACCAGTACATGTCTGAATTCAATGCCTGATCTTGCGGAAGGTGCTCCTAATACACGCAGTGATCTCCCAATCCCAACATATACACAGCTTTTGAAGTGGTTAAATGTGGCTCATTTCGTTTTCCACAGGATTGGTGCAGTGTCTGATTTTGAGCAAGAAGTTCGTAATGCCCTTCCAATTCCACTAGATTCAAAGCATTACCTTCTTCGGGTTGTAGACCGGCTTTTACCATGTTTAACGGTGGTTTATTTCATTTTTTTCGAAGATCATTTTCCCTTCACATTGTTGTAGACAATCCATTTTTTTGTTGCATTTAATCAGAGAATTACAAATGGAAATGCGATCCATAAAACTATTTTCCGATAAATTGTGAAATAACCAAACATTGTAGCGATTAACGTGTTTTCAAATGTTTTACAAGACTCATATGGCATATATCGGTATCTCTCCGATATCTCGAGCTATGCGAATTGGATTATTTTTAATCAACGTTTCGATTTCATCATCATTAACGACTGCACGCTGTTTGGAACTTTCTCGGTATTCCAGAACAAAATTTCCATTTTGAAACCTAGCGAATTACTCGTAGCTATGGCACCATCTACATAAATGACACATATTATTTTTTGCTGTTTGTGTAACGTTTGTTTCCGGAAATAAAAAAACACCATGTAATCAAAATGCACCTCATTTCCTCTCTTTTCATTTTTAACGTACAAACTTTTAATATTCACAACCCACACCCGAATCGTATAGAAATGGATCTTTAAGGTTTTTTCCTTGATTTATTATTATTATTATTATTATTATTAATATTATTATTATGCTCGGTAATTCAAATTTATATTGAGCTTTCTTTAGATTAATATCCTCCTTGGAATTATCCCTACCAGTCACAAATTGGTATTTTATATATTTCGGTTACAATTTATTTCGTGAATATTTTTATATTCGTCTCTTCAGACTAAAAATTCTTCATAAAGAACTTTATTAAGAACTTTCAATCTGAAGAGATGAACATAAAAATATTCACGAAATAAATTATAACTGAAGTGGATCTTTAAGTTTTTTTCTTGATTTATCATATATATATATATATATATATATATATATAAACAAATATATGGATATAGATCCGACAGTTAAGATATATTAACATTAAAACAGCATAATTGTATATAAGGATTTTTGTTTGTTTTTTTCCGTATATATTTTTCTTCATATATATATATATATATATATATATATATATATATATATATAGACTTGAAGAGGTCAAGATTTAATTAATGAATAACATTTCAGTGTTCAGTCGGGGACGCTAGAAGTATAGTGTGGAAGTAGATTTTAGAAGGAACTGGAAACCCTATCCTAAAGAAGGAACAAGGGATAAAACTCTTTTCCTGTTCTAATGAATGGAGAGGAGTGTGAACAGGGCGATAGGTGAACGTGTCTATTCATATTGAGGAATAATAAATAAATAGTAAATAACATTTCAGAATTCAGGCGGAGTCTTTCGAAATATAAAATTAAAATAGAACCGGAAACCAAGTTCTAAACAGGAAACAAGGATAAACCCACACGCCACTTCAATCTTATATTTTGCACACAAAAAAAAGCCCTTGTTCGAACTGTTTTCATGAGAAGATTTCCCATTTTTGTTAGGTGTGTGCAAAGGTTTCATGCGGAAAAACTTTTCAAATTTGTCGTTT